GAGCCGTGATCAATCGGGATCACCCCATTATGAGACCGTTTTCCTAAATTTTCCCAAACTATTCCCAAATTATTCCAATTAAAAAAAGTGAGAAATCTTAAATTTATCTGCTAAATATACGACGGTATATCCTCTCCAAAGACATAGAGAATGGACTTGCGCGATCCGTATCTAAGTAATGTATCAAATGTGGTCGACAATAATGAGAGAGAAGTTCGTTGGAGACGGCCAATTCCCCTCTCATTCTCTCTCCCATTACATCATTGAATGGAAAGAAATAGAAATGGCCGTCTGCCACGGTCCCTCTCTCTCAACCCTATCGACCATTTTGACACACGGATTGCGCAGTCCATTCTCTATGGACCGATTGTTCCACCTTTTGGTAAATTTTACCTGTGAGGTAAATCTGGTAATCTATGTGATTGGGTAATTTTGCTACTTATACCCAACAGGTAAAATTTACCAAAAGGTGGAACAACCGGCTCTATGGCCGGTATTCATAGGCCGGTATTCATAGTCGGTTCTTATTTTAAGACCGTCTTAAGTAATGTCTTAAGTCGCTAATGCGGCCTTCTGATTGGTTCATGACTTCTTAAGACCGTACTTAAGACGGTCTTGAATATAAGATCTGACTATGAATACCGGCCATAGTCGATTTTTATTTCAATATCGTCTTAAGTAATGCCTTAAGACGCTAATGCAGCCCTCTGATTGGTTCATGACTTCTTAAGACCGTACTTAAGACGGTCTTGAATATAAGATCTGACTATGAATACCGGCCTATGTCTTTCAGGTTCCTCTCTGGTTTTCATCAAAGTGACAGGAATACGAAGTTCCAATTATGCGCACGCGTAGAAAACGCTAGCGACACTCGACTGACTCGACAGTGCCGTCTCTGCCGATAGTAGCGACGCCAGCGACGCGGGTTTGCTTCCTTTTTATGTTCACGTTGAATTCGCGTGTACGGTACCGCCACAAGTAAATTGCGAATCGCAGGTAATCTTTCGTGATAAAACCCATCAACTTCATATTAATGCGGTGAACGGTGCGTTAAATCCATTTGTGTATCCCGATGATGGTATTTAATGCTCGGCACGAAACGTTCGTAAGATATTTGCGATGCGAAATGAACCGGTGCAATCGTTCCATCGTTTCTTTCACCAGCTGTTTTCCGCTTAAATCGCAAAAAGTGTATCGCAAAGATATGAGCGTTACGATATAATTGAAGAATCTTATAAAATTTACTTTTGTGTGTATAGTGCAACAATTAGTTTATTTGTTTACTGTGCCTTGTTTGAAGGTTAGGTTAGGTTATCTCTTGTGGCATCTGTAATGTTCCTGTAATAATAGAGAAACTATTATAGGAACCCTAGGCATTCATGGATGAAATTACAATATTTAAATTTGTATAGCTTGTAACTGTACATTTATTTTTTAGTAACCATGCAGTAATAAGTTTATTATATAGCTGGTTGCATTGCATTATACTTGCTGAAACTTGTTTAAGCTTTCTGTAAGATATGCAATTGGTGCCTCTCAACAAAAAACACAATAGGTTTGTTCTATTCAGCTGAACTTTGTGCACAGTTTATCTTTTTTTCTTTTTTTTTGACATTGGAAAAAAAAAGAAGACTATGTAAGAAGTTCAGCTAAAAAGAACAAGTCTTCTAGTGTAATACATGATTATTTCATTTTTCTTTAACATTGGTAAATAGTAAGAATGTAATGATTTACTATATTACACTGTGTTCTTGTTGGAAAGCATTTAATTTCAGAGTATATCGAGGAATAAAACATGATTGCATATGTAAATATATATAAGTTGTTTGATTAATGTTTGCGACGTTTGGCTTTTAGCCATGGTGCGTATGAACGTTCTTAGCGACGCCTTGAAGGCAATCAACAATGCTGAAAAACGTGGAAAGCGGCAGGTATTGCTGCGACCCTGTTCCAAGGTGATTGTTAAATTCTTGACTGTCATGATGAAGCATGGTAAGTGATATGTTACTTACATATGTACTTATGTATAAATATAAATATATATATATTTATAAATACATATATATATATATTTTTTATGCAGGGTACATTGGAGAGTTTGAAATTGTGGATGATCATCGCAGTGGGAAAGTAGTAGTGAATCTTACAGGAAGGTTAAACAAATGCGGCGTCATTTCACCTAGATTTGACGTACCTATCAATGACATCGAGAAGTGGACCAACAATCTCTTACCTTCTCGACAGTTTGGGTAAGTCTTTATTTAATATATGAGAAATTGTCTCTTACATTTGCTATATAAAATATAAATAGTTTTGTTCCTGTTTATTTTTATTACTAAAATAAATTCATATAATATATAGTATATTATACTAGCAAGAATAAAATTAAATAAGAAAGTTATACTTGAAAGATTACTCAGTTCAAGTGAAAAATCTGTTCAAAGTTATTATAAAATTATTATTGAGCATTTACATGTTCAGTGTAATATTTTAATGTATGAATTGTGTTAATTAAACTTTAAAGGAAATAATTATATAATACACATTTATTTCTATTTATGCCTCAGATATGTTGTATTGACAACTAGCGGAGGAATTATGGATCATGAGGAAGCGAGGAGAAAACATCTTGGAGGGAAAATATTGGGATTTTTCTTCTAATTTTTTAGTTTAAGTAAATAAAGATGTAAACACAAAACATGTTTAAGTAATCTTTCGATGAAAATCGAATATTTTAATCCACGAAAATTTTTATTCCATTCTAAGTTTTGTTTACATTGCATGCCTTTGAGACGTAAGTATTTTTTATAAGCATCGTTTTTCACTCAAGATTTCTTCGCTCCATTGATTGTTAATTCCAGTAATGTGAGCAGATTTGCTTGTCTTGCCTGTCTTATTATATTCCTAAAGAATCGCCTCATAATCATCATTGTAAATGACCTGAATTGTAAATAAGAATACATTGATGGATCTATTTACCGGGAGCAGAAAGGAGGAGGAGGAGAATCAACGAGGCCGTCGCGAGCCAAAATACGTCTATCTAGCAGTTGGACCAGATATTCATAAGGATCATAGGGTCGACGTAGTAGAAGCTCGCCGAGCAGAGAATCGATGATGTCGTGAATCCCTTTTTGTTTTAAATACGACACCGCATTTTGCATGTTTCGTGGCGCGTGTTGAACAGTATCATTTTTAGGATGCACATTGGACATTTCTCCAATTTCTCGTTGCTTCGAAAGCGAGTTTAAATAATTCTCCATCGTCCATTTGTCATGGATTCGGAATTCAAATAATTCGCGATAGCGAATTTTTTACGATCGTCCAATCTCCATCGTTCTCTCTCTCTCTCTCTCTCTCTCTCTCCCCATCTTATTTTAGGTAAAAAAAAATGCGAAATTCCTGACTCAAGGCTGCCAATTTGCGAGGTAATATAATAAATTTCTCTATTAAATTGGACTTGAAGTTGCCAATATCAAAAAATAAATTGTCCTAGATAGGCTGCGTTTCACTTAACGCTCCTAAATTATTAAAACGTTTATTCACCCTGCTCATGCAGGCATAATGAAGGAAGGCAATGGCAAACCACCGAGAGTATCTTTGCCATGAGCACTTCTCTAATAAATCGTTGTTCGGAATCGATGTTAAACTGTAGATCCCATATGACTTAGCGCTTCAAACGCTACAGAGCATTTGTAGCACTGATATGACTGGTCCATTTGATGCTTCGGAACGCTCCCAGCAACTCTGATTACGTCATCGTTTTTGCTCTCACTTCGTTTCAACTGCCTCACCTCGGGAGGTGGGTTGGCTGGAGCGTTCATGTAGCAATTGTAGCATTCGAAATAGTAATGGACCAATCGGAGCGTAGCGTTTGGAGCGTAACGTTAAGAGCATTTGAAAGAAGCAAGTGGACCGCAGTCTGTGTACAACCAGCGTGCGCGCACCACAGACATATAAGAAAAGTCATCACGCTCGGTCACAAGCAATAGGATTGGGAAGAGAGAGAAGAGAGATATGGTTTTAAGTTTAAACTTGTATAAAACAGATAAGAGCATTTGAAAGAAGCAAGTGGACCGCAGTCTGTGTACAACCATGATAAAAAGACAAGGGTATGCTCATGCGCATGACCAATCAGATTTTTGTCCTTGCTTACGCCACTGTTCAGCAATTTCAGATTGTTTTGGAAAGGTAAAATATTTAATTTTACTTCCCTCAGTTTTTTTTGTTTTTTTCATATAATTGCCGCATCACGCTCGGTCACAAGCAATAGGATTGGGAAGAGAGAGAAGAGAGATATGGTTTTAAGTTTAAACTTGTATAAAACAGAGGGTCTTGTGTAATAAATTATGAAACGTTTGTTTACTTCGCTCATGTGGCACTTTAAGTTAAATTTTTAATATTATTATTATTATTGAAATAATGATAATATTAATAAATTTAAACTTAGTCATTATGCCACATGAGCGGAGTAAACAA